TACCGTGAACGGTCCTTTGAGTTTGATTTGCTTTCGAAAAAAAATTGGCAATAACTTTTAAACAGTTTCAGCTAGGGCTTTTATATTTCACTTGTGTATTTCGTGTGAGAAGACCTTCATTGTGTATAAATATTGTTGGCCTTGGAGTTTGACCTACTTTTGAAAAAAATATTAACCTTAGCCATAACTTTTGAATGGATAGTACTAAAACTTTCATATTTCACAGTTTTATTTCTTGTGACAATACCATCCCTTGGGCTCCATTAATTTTGACTATTTTTACCTTGAGGTTTGATTTACTTTTGAAAAACTTTAACCTTCGCCATAACTTCAACGGTTGGTGCAAGTGTTTTCATATTTCACAGTTACACATGTATATTCCTTGAGAGACTTTTCTTTCGGTACCAACATCTCTTGACCTTGGAGTATGACTTGCATTTGAGAAACATTACCTTTGTCATAAGCTGCCATAGGGGGCATCAGTTTTTTCACAAAGACATCTTATTTTTTATTTAATAAAGTTGTTGTTTCCTATTCTTTTGTTAATTAGAAGTGGATTCTCAAAAACTACAGAATTTTTAGAAAATTCAAAATCGTCATTTTTTTTAAGTCATACAAATCAAAAAGTACTACTTTACTTCACTTTATACAACTTCCTCGCGATAAGGAGTTTTTCATATGATAGACAACTGTTCCTTCAATAAAAATCGAATTCGAACGAAAATCTTACCTGGAATTCCGATTGTGTTCCTGTATTAGTCGACCTGTCTTTACATTCCTAAGAAGCTGAATTTATTCATAAACTTCTACATTAGAAGGGAAAAAAACACTTGCTCAGATAAATCGCTGATGTTTTATCAATTAACAATAGTTACTTTAATTCATTAGTTGACACGATATATCCCAGTGAACTTGAATAAAACACACCACAGAGTCTGCCACATTTATTTCATATTTAGATGTTACATTGACTATAGACGATAAGGCATAACTATTGTTAGGCTTTTCATAACTAAATTTAACAACGGATTGTTCCGTCTACCTTATCATTCATAGGGCTCATGTAAAAAGTCACGTTGGGTGTGTCAACAGGGGATGCTTGCTCCTCCTAGGCACCGGATCCAAACCCTGGAATTTCCGGTGGTCTATCTTGTATGCCCTGTTCACATATTTGTATTGTTTATGGATTTTTTGAGATCGATCACTGTTCGTAATCTGTTTGACAGTGGATGAGTTATTATCAGGTAAAGTCAAGGTTGACAAGATACTGGATCAAGTTGTTTTATGCTAAAGAATCACAGAGAGCCAGAATGACTTGTTGTAAATTAGTGACAAATGGCAAAAAGCAACGTTATATATCCAAGTCTCTGTGTACTGAATTGTAGCACTAGGCAAGTGACAAAAACATATCTGTATATATTGAATACCTTACACAATAGGTAAGTGTTCATTGTATTTGAATATTTTGCATTCATTATCATCCCTTTAAGGCTTGGGAAAACCACTTACGATCACAGGGAGATCGCTCGGGTATAGCAAGATACAATAAGCAAGCCCTTAGGTGATTTTTACCAGATTTTTTGAAATTCTTGGGCAACATTGCTTTTTCTATCAGTTAATTTTGTTTTATACTTCTATGGATCCTTTACAGTGTTGTAAAATTTTTACCGTTTAACATTTGTACAAGAATCTTTTACAACGAGCGTTGACAGAGGTGTTGGGAGCGCAGCGGAAGACAACTCTGGATAGAGAATGATGTAAAATATGACAGCCTTAGCTTCAACCAATCCAAACTTTCGGTAGGTTTACGTTTTTGCCGACAAACAAACATACACACAGGGACAAAGCTATATGTATATATATATATCTCGCTGTTTATGCCCCCGAATCTGCAATTTATACGAGGCATAAAATCCCTAACGGATTACAGACTTTGAAAAGAAATAAGGAATATTTTCATCATGTTTGTTTCTAAAATAAGGTTCTTAAAATTATGAGTTCATGATTATTATTAAACTTTACAAGTAAATTTACCATGGTATTAAGTATTTCATTCCTAGCCACCAATTACAAATTCGATATCTAGACAGGGAAATTATTTAACTTCCCTTAAATGTGAGAACAAAGCAGATATTTCCTTATGTATTATACGGGCAAAGCTGACAAGGCTTAACGAAACGATTGATTCAGAAATAATTTTCTTACCTTTGTACACTTACAATGTACAGAACGTAAAACAACATGACATCCACAATTACTTTGTGATTATAATGTGCTTTCACCGAAAATACACTTTTCGGGAAATGACGTCAAATTTAGAATAGTATTTTTACTCGCAGATACATGTACTGTCATTCTTCATTGAAACAGCTTTGTGTGGAAAAAATCATATTCAAAATACCTGGTTAATGTTGTTCATTTGTCAGTTACAGTCAAAGTTGTTATACCCTCGCAGAAGTTTAGAGGGGGGGGGGGGTATATTGGAATCAGCATGTCCGTCTGTATGTAGACGTGATTTTGTCCGGACCTTTTCTAGAAGACCATATCATGGATTTGTCTGAAAAGTTGTACAATCATTCACCGTATGAAGGTGTGCACCTGGTATTTTCATCATGATTGGATAATTTTACAGGTGTTTTTTTTTCTTAATTTTTATTGACTTAATCATTTTGAGATCGTGTAGGTTTGAGACAAAGAATCTAGAACTGCCAGTTGGTACATCTGTATAAAAATGTGAATTGCATTTTAAAACTACTCATTAAAACTCAAAAAATAACCAAGTATTAAAAAAAGTTTTTTGGTAGATAATCTATACAAATCTAAGTCATGAAGTAACCTTGTTTAAAACAGTTGCATCAAGATTACACAGTTCTTTTTTTTTCATTATATAAAACTTGTAAAAAAAAATTTAAAAAATCTTTGTTTTCAACAGAATTACATACGAGGGCTGTTCGGAAATATTGAGACAATGCGTATATTCTTCTTCTAATGAGCGTCTGTCAGTGAAAATTTTCATATACGTTTGACTAAAACTAAGAATTAATAAAAGCAACACTGCATGAAAAGTGGCGTTTAATATAATTTAATAAATTCGTTTACTTAATTAAACTTCTTGTTTTGAATTTAATTTATGTATAACGTTAAATTATACATAAAATATATTGTGATATAATTAAATACATTTTTCATATAAGTATAATTAGATTTAATGCAAAATACAACGAGAATAATATAGTTTAAAGAAAAAATTATACGTTTCGTTTAAGAAAATAGACCTGTAAAAGGAAATCCGCTTATACTTTAAGTTTAAATGTGTTTGTGATATTTTACAATGTGATAAATAATGTGTCAATAATTCTTTATTTTATACAGAATAAAATATTGTTTACATAGAGAATAATACATACCCTTTTCCATATCACATCCTGTATCAGCCCGAGACACCAATATCAGCCATAGGGCCGAAGGCCTGAGGGCTGATATTGGTCGCGGGCTGATACAGGATATGATATGGAAACGGGTAAGTTTTATTATATTTATTACATACTTAGTAATAAAATACAGAACACATTAAGTTGAGAAGAAAATAAGTAAATAATCATGCATGGACTTCTTAAAATGTACACAGTCTATTGTCTCGTACAGTTTCGGTTTGTTTCTGCATGTACTTCTATTTCAAATGTCCCCAATCCGTAATTTTAAAATAATATATTATTTATCAGTTAGATTATCATTACATTCAACATGTTCAAAAAGTTAAAATTAAGAGAATTATGTACCGCCCAAATATGTGTATGATCACAAGTACTGTTTTTGAGGTTTAATTTATTGGGGGTGTGATATTGATCCGTATCAGCCCTGCAGGGCTGATCGATAACCTATATCAGCCCCGCAAATCCATATCAGCCCTGCAGGGCTGATACGGCTACTGTGACGTCAGCCTTATCGCATATGCAAAAATCCTGTATTTATCACTTAGTATGTAATAAATATTTATTAATGAAAAAAGATGAAAATCTTTTACATTAAAGCATTTGATACACATGTATAACGCGTTTATTTTACCCCGCGCTTGAAAAGCGGGAGGGTATATACTAGTAGTAACCGGTATGTCCGTCCGACCGTCTCCATGTCTGTAAGTCCGTCCGTTTGTCTGTTACGTTTTCGTGTACACATCTCTTATCCGCCTCTCATACCACTGAATGAAATTTTATTAAACTTTCACAGAATCTTATTACATATTGCCATTGTGATCTCCTATCTTACTTTCTGATCTCATATATATTTTGGGTCTCACACAACAAAACATGAACACGCCCATTATATTCATATGGGTGGCGGGAGATATCATTAAATGAGCTCCTATATCTCATAGTACCACTAGGTTGACTTTTAATTTACTCTTAAATATTTTAAAATTGATAATGTATATGGTAGTGATAAATTTGTGTGGAAAAATGGATGATAAAACCTGTATCAGATTAATATTGTTTTGTTTAATTTACTGCTGTTTTTTTTTTTTTTTTTTTTTTTTTTTTTTTTTTTTTTTTTTTATATAGATACAGCATATAATATATGCTTTTAATCGTGGGAGGGTTCCATAGCCAAAAATACAAAAAAAAAAAACTTTAATGAACTTAATTAGTAAAAAATTTAAAATTCTTGGAACCTCTAGTATATTCTATTTTGATTACCAAAATTATTCCAGTTTCAAATGATCATCTCTCTCTCTCCCTCTCTCTCTCTCTCTCTGTTTGCATAAAATACTTTTTTGAATCAGATCTTTGAATGTACACAAATGAATTCGAAATAAAGAATGAAGCAAGACTGATTATTTCTTTAAGTATTCTGATACATGTAACTGGTTGCATATATTTTTCTTTAAAATGCTAAATGCTTTCCAATGGGTACTATGAATAGAACTTTCTTATTTCCTATTTTGCCTTTGGAGTAAACAAATTTGCATCGAATTCTTTGAATGGGAAGAAATATCGATGGACCACTGTCATCAAAAATATTGGCAGACCATACTTCAACAGGTGCCCCACAATGTCTCTTCAGCTCCAGATTTGGTGCTAGCCATGTGATTTTAGCCAGGATATGCACCCTACTACTCCCATTCACAACAAGATTATGACGCAAGAAATACTCTACGATCCCTGGCCACAACCGGTCGTCATTCTCAGCAACAATTTGTCCGTTTCCTGCGTTCCAGTTTGACATTATGTACATGTATGCAGAGCGACAATATCTCGACTTAATTGATCCTAAAGTTTCACTTCCTAAGGACACTGCCTTGAATTTCATGAACGAGGTACAAAGAACACAATCATCATCCTCAGTCAATTGATAGATTGTTTTGTACATTTGTTTCAAGAAATTAATTTCAACTTCATCAAGAACTGCAGGGGAGCCATGTTTCAAATCTACATTTTCAGTATCGTCCCATTTCTGTAGGTGTTTGATACACGAAGGAAGAGACATGGAAATAAAATCCATTTTTTTGGAATCACGCAAATAACCACCGTTTGTTTCTTTTTCTTGTGTCACACTCTCTAAAACAGGTAAAAATTCTCCTTTGAAATGTTCTGGATAATTAATTTCGGAGATCAGAGCATTTCTATTAAAACGCCTCATCAGCTGCAATTCTATAGATCTGTTATTGTTAGGAAGTGTCCCCAAGTAGCCATTGTATCGTTCGACACTATATAACCAGAATGAATGCACCGGTCCATAGTCTAACATACAATCTGCAATATGCGCATGTAGGTGCATATTAGGTGTAACAAAGTTAGTTCCGTAACATTCCTCAACACCTCTACAAAATGCCAGTAAATATTGATCAATCAATCTTATATCATCTTTCGAAATTGATCGTGAGCATAAGAGCCTGCTTGCTAGGACGAACAATCGCCAATGGTGTAATAACCTATCTGGTATCTGTCCTTTTAATGCATACACTGAAAATATATTGGTCCAGTGCATCCATTGTTCGGCGGTGAATCCACCAAAAGAAGATGAAATTTTACGGGGTATTTTTCCCAGTGATGCAGGTGTTTCAATAGTGTCAACTTTTTCCTGAATGCTTTCAAAAGAATCTTCAAGAATTGTCCCTGTAGATAACCAAACTTTGATCATATGCTTTGCTGACCCCAGATACATATTATGCATGGGGTCAATTATCGACATTCGGATGGGGTCAAAATAACTCAGACGACTGAGTTCTGAAAATCTAACACCCATGTCATTTTCAAATTCAACTTTTCAGATTTGGTTTTAGCTCCCAAAACTTTATCAATGGGAGAAGTATGGTCCTTTATTTCTCTTTTCTGCAACTGATCTCTATCAAATCCGGAATAGTCTTTATTTCCTACAGTCCCGGGAAATTCTTTAAAACACTTCGAACAACCTAGATTAGCTGTGTGGCCCAAAAACCCGCACAGTTTTCTTGTTGCAGGAATATCGCACCCTACACACATAACGTTGACAACGACACTCTTATTTGCATAAGCTGAGAAAGCTTCAAACCCTTTGCTCCATGCTTCATTTAGCTCGTTGACAAGTGGTTTGATAAATGTGTTCGTACTGGGTTCTTTGCCCATATCTGGAATTATCCCTATGAGAATTACATTTTCTAATTTGAATCTTAATTGTCTGGGAAGGTTGAGAACAACAGCATATATTACACCTATGGAATATTTTACGTGCTGGAAAGGCTGAAACCAATCCAGGTTGAGCATAAGGCCAAATGAATGAGGAGAATCCAAGAAATTGTTGTATTTTTCTGTGTTAAATTCTTTCCATACTCGCCCATCGTAAACATCAAAACACATATCTTGGGGTATGCTGCGTTGTCGCCAAGAGTTACAAACTTCAACAAACTTTTTTCGTTGCAAAAATCGTTTTACAGTTTCAGTAATTGGCTTGTAGCAGTATAATTTATATGGGTAAAGCTTTTCATCTCCGTTTGATAACTTGACCAACCTCATTAGAGGTTCATTGCATTTTGTTCGTCTACCTTTTTGTGTGTGATTGGGAAATGCTATGTTTGTACAATTAGCAGTTGCCTCCTTCCCTTCCACAATTATTGAACTTTCTTTCAGTGTGTAAAGTGAACAACATTTTTTGCAAACAACAAACCTTTTGAAATTGTCAAGCTTTAAATTGAGAGATTTCCACAACATGTACAATGACCCTAGAAAAATAGCTGACAGGCTGTAAAAGACGGGGTGTGATTTGCACAATTCCGATAAAAATGTAAAAACAAAATTCAAAAGTTGATTTATTGCTGTGTTGGATATCATATTTACACTCTGCCATGTGCAGATGAAGAGACAAAACCATATTGTAAATGAAGTAATCGATGTGTTGTTTGATTCCGCTTTCGCTGGAACCTCCTGTACATCCCCAATGTCCATCTGAATATCATCTGTAGAAATAGTATTCCAAATCTCTTCTGAATCACTATTATTCCCTTCTGCTATATCTTCATTGGGCAGTTTACAAAGACGCTTGCGAATAAAATCGCGCATACCGTTTCTTAATTGTTCGATGTTGCTACTATCATCAAACTCATCATCACTAATTACAGTATGTGGAGTGTCATAAGGACTTTCTTTGGAATTTTCATCAACATTTGTTGAAGTATTAGGTGACTTTGCAGAATTTTTAATTCCACATGTCCATTCATTGTTTTGAAAGTATTTGGGTTTGTGCGAAGAAATAAAATAAGATCTGGAAAATTGAGTTTCGCATCCTTCACATGTTTTCCTAGTTCTTATTTTTTTCAGTGTTATTTTCTCACTCTCTGCTGCGTTAGCAGTGCCTTTCCTTTTCTCGGTGGGCATTTTGAAGGTAAACTCAGAAATTATACATAAACTTATTCAGTTAAATGCACGGGACTCAACCAAGTCAGCATCTTTCTAAGTACCTGTGGAGTAAACAAATGCAGCCACTTAAAACCAGGAATTCGAATACTAAATGCAATTTCATAGTAACACAAACATTCTAGTACAGTAAAACTCGTTTAGTACGAGCACGGATATAGCGAATTCACGTAAATAGGGATGTTTTTCAGGGTCCCCGGCAAAATTTCTATCAAATCTGTGTAAAATTTTACGGTTATAACGAAAACTCTGATATATCGAATTTACGGTTATAGCGAATTGATTTTGAATCCTGTTGAGGTTAAATATAAAGAAATTCACATCTATTATAAAGAAATTTCAATGATGTTGATGATTTTTTTTCTTTTAGCAGTTGTATATAAAATTCGATTCATAATAAAATCTTAGTTATCGTAGGTATGTTTTATAATATCTGCTTCCCTAACATATTTGGTAGGAATACTTGAAGGAAAACATGCACATTGCGAATTCGCTATAATATAATTATTCTTATACTAATTCGTTATACGGATATTACGATTTACGGATATAGCGAATTAAATTCACAGGACTTCGCTATAATCAAGTTTTACTGTAAATGTCTTTAAGAACCCTCTCTACACTGCACACTCAAGAGTTCTCATTCTGTTGTATTTTTTGCAGTTAGAATGGTCTGCCCTTAAGGTATTCACTCCCTAATAGCAACAGATTCAATAATATTTAATACATAACAGATTTGTAAGTGTTAATATAAATACTCAGTTTATTTAGAAATAATTCCCATTTATTACAATTAACATGTAAGAGTAAGATTTTTCCTAATTTATGACCTTGAATTTTGGTACGAGTTATCTCCATCTTTTTTACTTGATAAAAAATCAATTTAAAAAAAAATTATTGGAAAAAAATGTTTTCAGTTGCCGTTCTATTTCTAACGTATCAATGCATATTTCCACCACATTATTTATTAATATATTTATATTCCAAAAAGAAAAAAAATTAATGAAAAACGCTTTTCCCCTTAGACTTCAATGCCATCATTGTTTATTAACTACTGCAAAAAATTACAATAGAACCAGAACTCTTGAGTGCAGTGTAGAGAGGGTTCTTAATATAAGAGTATTATGTATCTGACGGATATTTAAGAGTAGAAAATTTAGTCCTGTTAAGGATGGAAATCTTTAAATCTAAATTCTAAAATGTAGAATATTACAGTATATTACACAGTTTGTAATCACTTGAAGTATTCATAACATTTTGAAAGGCCAAGATAAATTAATTTAAGAGGTAATTTACATGTACTTTCTCCAAGAAGTAAACAACATTGATTTATATTCCCTGCTATTGATTTGTGTTTTATTATTTTCACTGGGGGTTAATGCCACGTACGATAGATTGAATATTAAAGATGCTTTATTAAATGTTTTATACATAGTCACTTTCAAAGGTGACAGTGACACATCATATCACTTGCAATGTAGTCTGGCTATCGGTTCTCTCAAATCTTTGATTTAATAACTTTCACCACGTAGTTTTTTATTTAAATTTGCACCAAAATAGAATTTAGAGTGAAAAATATTTGTATAGATTAATAAGGATGGTTTCGGGAGGGCAGACATTTGAACATCACAGAAGGTTTACAATTTCTTTATATTCTAGAAATTTATTATTTGCATCATTTGCAATGAAATTAGGCCAAAAAATATATAAACCAATCCAGACATCCATTTTTTGTTTGTATCATCTGTCCTTAAAATTATTTTAATATGTAAAGAGATTCAATGACTCAGTCTGTGTTCCTTTAACTCATAACTTTGGGAAAAAGCAAACAAATAAACAAATTTTAGTTTATTTAATAAAATTTTCCAGAGACTACCCTGTGAATTTTATCATTCAGTCTCTTAAATTCCATCCATTTCAAATATAAAGGATCGCGCTCAAAAGGCATCAGATTATGCTTGTGACTTATGATTTTTATATTAGACTGGCTTTTCTTTTTCTCAGGATTGTTACTTTTCCTCGAGCTTTCCCCCACGGAATCGTCACTCTTATATGTACATATAGGTGTAGTCGTTGGAATCCCTGTTTTTTTTTTTTTTAAATTTTTCCTCTACCTTTTTACGTTGTTTTCTTCTTTTCCTGTACGCTTTTTTTGAATCTGCATGGTGTCGTCCCATAAGTTTTCTGAAAGTTTAACAATTTTGATATGAAACAATTACATAATTAAACATATAAATAAAGATTTTTGAATCTTTGATGAAATATTTGAATCAGTAGAATGTACTATGTGTGTGTGTGTGTGTGAGAGAGATTTGAAAGAAAAACTGCTAAATCTATACTCAGCTGTATTTGCAAATGTCAAAATTTTGTGAAAATGGAAAATAGACTGCGCTACAACTTAATTATACAAGATTGTAATTACTATTGTATGTACATGTATCTTTCTAAATGCTAAGAACCAAACTTCTAAATGAAGCAAAGAGATATTATAAAAATTATCATAGCTTAGATAGTTTTCAAAAAATATGTTTGGATCATTACATGTGAAAATATGAATGTCTGACTTCAACTTGTGGCCTACATTTCTTATAATTTAAAATGACATTATAAAGCACAATAACTTGATTTGTATGTCACATTACTTGAACACAATTTTTTTTATCTCCTTATTGTTGATGTACTGTCTCAGTGGTGGATCCAGAGGGGGGGGGGGGGGGTCGGGGGTTGCAACCCCCCCCCCCTGGATTTGCAAAAAAGAAAGACAAATAAGAAAGTTCCAATTGATTTTTTGGTTTTTTTTTTACTATAGAAAAGTTTAGTAAAAGGCTAATGTTGTAAAATATAAAGAAATTCGGTTGTGAAAAACAAAATGCAGAAACCCCACCCCTTTTACAAAATAGGATTTTCTGGTTCGGATCTCAATTTCCTTTCTTTCTTCTAAAACTTTTTGGTAATCCATATAAGTACTTTTTCCCAAGTTGATCAACCTCCCACTTTTAAAAGATCCACGCATGTGCCTTTGTCTACTAATAATTATCTTCCATGCCTCTTTGGGGGGCCCTTGCTTGGAAATAAAATATTGTCTTAATTTTGTATAAAATATTAAAAATTCATAAAAGACGACTAAAGTTAAATTTACTTATTATAGTAAATTAGAGAAAAAATAATTGCTATTTACACCTAAACCTAAGGGTTTTTTTAAAAAACAATTTAAACAGTTATCCGCCCTTCACAAAATGTAACGTTACATGGCATAAAATCATTAAAATATAAGAAAAGGGATATAAGCGAGTCATTTAATTTGAGCGAGATTAAATTCTTAACAAATTATCAACAAAACTACATTTATTCGTTTAAATTTTAAGAAAAAAATCTTCAATTAATTTTTTCTCCTCTGTGCGCATGCATTTTTTTAATTAGCCAATCAAATTCAAGCCGCAGCCTCATGGATATTTTAAGCCCGCCAAACTGTACAAACATGTCGGACACTAGTCATGCAGACCTATCGGAGGATGAATCCTCATCAGCCTCGTGGAACAGTTTCCATTCATCTGATTCATCCGATTCCTATATATATGAAGTTATCGAACAGAAATGCCGTACGTTCCAGAGAGGGAAGAAAAATGCACCCCAACGCCAGGTTAAGAAGGGTAAAGCGCTGTCGGGTAAAAAATCAAAGATGGCAAAAAAGACATTATTTACGTCTAGGCCTACATCAACACCCAAAAGTGTTCAACATGAACAAGACCTACCACTTCTAGAGGACTCCACTTGCAATGTGGCTGGGCCTAGTATGTCTCCTACCACGTGCTCATCAACCTCGGAACCACCGCCAACTACAACGCAGGGTCGGGAGATTTTGACGGCTACCCCCACGACGTCAGTCCTAAACAGCACCCCAAGGATATGTTCGCCGGCCACAACTCCGAGCAATAGTGATTTGGTAGGTTGCTTGAACTGTTCACGACACGCGACACGTGCTCTTTCAATGATTATGGTCCTTTTTAGAGTTACTGTCCCTTGTGAAAATGATTATTTCCCCTATGAGAACTCTCTAGGCCAAGACCAAAGAAATATTGCTTTGAACATTTTTTATCATGTCTACTTTGATATTATATAGGGCCAGCATCAGGGCCTGTTTACCAAGTTGAGAAAGCTTGAGTCTCAGCAGGAAAGAATTTTAGAAGGGCAAAGGGAAATCATAATTTTACTCTCTGGAAATCCATCGCAAAAGAAAGGAAATAATAAAGTTAAAATAATGATACCCAACCACGTCCGAGTAAGTCTATTTTTCGATTATCATGTTTGAAGTTTCCATATAAAGATCTGTTGTGCAACAATTATTATACACAAAAGAAAACATGAGTCATGACTGCAAGATGAAGATGCAGAATATTTTCCATCTATTATAATATATATAATTGTTTCTCCATTTTGACACTCAGAACTCTCAAGATTATTCACATTATTTGTGGTAGTGTAGATTGGAATTGTCTTAGAAATCCCCCCCCCTTTATTTTTATTTTATTTTTATTTATTTTTATTTTATTTTTTTTTTTGATATATTGCCAGAAAGTAAATCGCTAAAGGCTTTTTAAAATTGAGAAAAAAGAGTATAAAATTTTATAGGTAGATCTACTATGAAAACTCAAAAATGGATTGTTAATGCAGTACCATTGATGGGTGATATATTATGGACTGGTAATATAACAGGAATATGCATCCGACATTTGATCCCTACATGTATAACTGTTTAACCTGCATTTTCTGTTTGAATGTAATATTGCAATAATTTAATTTTAGTTGTAACATACCGTTTGACTGGGTAAAACTAAAAGATTTAATGCATTTCGCATAACAATTAGGTTGCCTATGCTGCAAATAGTTACGTCAAAAATGTATTACTCCGCTTAACAGGGCTCGACATTAATGCTTGTCCGCTTGTCCGGTACCAATGTAAAAAAAATTATGGACAAGTGAATTTTGCTGGGCACTAAAAATGTCAGATTGGACAAGTGATTTTTTATGTATTAATTCGATCCTGATATCAATCGCTATGCAAGTTCACACTTGATCGGGATCGATGTTCAATAATTGCATCCGTTACTACATGTATTACATGGCGTGGATCTTACGACGTCTGCAGGTTTGGAATATATTTGATTGAATTACAGATTCACTTGCAAACATTTATGTTGTTGTCAGGACAGGAAGTGTAGATAAAATTTTGTTTTATATGTGTTTGTCTTATTTATCAATAACAACACTAATAAATCAAGCAATTTTAATCTTTTAATTTAAGTAATTGTTTTCAAGTTGACAGAATAAGATATTCATTGAAAAATTTTCGGACCAATGAAGTTGAAGTTCTGACAAGTGAATATCTTGGTCACTTGTCGAATGGACAAGTAGGAAAAAAGGTTAATGTCGAGCACTGCTTAACCTTTAAAATATGCTAAGTATGAGGCTTTTTTTTCTTGAGGATAAATTGTCTCATTGTCTACACTAAAAATAACTTTATAAAGAATGAGGCTTATTTAATTCGACAACTTATGTTATACGATATAACACGCTTTAAATGTAAATTTTTTTCCACAGGTTTATAATTTCATGGGATCTCTAATTCTGCTCAATCAGTAGAAAATTACATCAACTTCTTGTGATCTTTTTAGATGATAGCAGTTATTTTTATTTTTTTAACTGTACTTGTGACTATTCACATCAAGGGGGGGGGGGGGGGGTCACTAGTGAGCATTCATGTTAAATTGCTCACAGATTGATTGCTTTGTTAATTTAAGCTATAATTATAATGATTCATCATGTATTATGATAAAGCTGAGTGATGTACTTAGTATCATATTGTGTCTAGCTTTCCACTGATTAAGAGGATTAATTAATCAAGATGTTGTATTTGTAATTAAAGATTTGTTTATTTGTAAATGTATATACTTTCAGACTGTTGTTCACGATGGATATTCTCACGGCAATGCACAAGGCCTGGATTGGAAAATGAAATCGGATGATGGAAGCCAAACATTGAAGTAAACATACTTTTAGCTCACAAGAGCTGTAAGCTTAAGTGCATGAGTTTTCCTGATCACATTTTGTCGTCTTCCAATCTAACCATCAAAAGGAGATATTTGAATTAATGTAAATGTATTTGCAATCTAAAAAAAAATCGCCAACTATTTATGTTGAAAAATATAATGTCAAAATATCCTCAGGTAAAGAAGTGTGTTCGAATCATCGTTACACATTCCATATTCGAAGAGGATTTCTGACAAGATTATATTCTCTGTGTCAGAACAGAATATCAGATCACCAAACTCTATTTGGCACCTTAAATATTGTATTGATATGAATATACATGCATATATGAAAATTGTACTTTGACATACTAGACATCCTAATTTAAAGTAGAGTTGGGTAAATACACTAAATCATATATTCTCGTTTCTTGTTGTAACAAGATCTTTAAAAATAACTCAATGATACAACACACAACTTGTGAGGTGTATCAAGTGTTATGATAATTATTGCTCAGGTGATTGATGTGGCATTTAGATTTTTTGTTTGACTTTGTTTGAAGTATTGCTTATAATTTTACTGAACGACAAGAGAAAAATAAATAATCCACCATAAATTAAGTTATGGTAGAGGATGCCTTCTAGCAGATTATAAAGAAATGTTGATATTGCTCATGCATACAATTAACTGTAATTTTATTTAGATCACATTTATGATCAATTTTAATTAAATGCTGGAATGATGAATTTATAGTACTGTTTTATAATGGAATTCAGTTAATTATGAGATCATGTGTTGTAGACCTTCATCTGATGTAAACAAGTCAATGACAGAACATATATGCCAGTATGTCACTGGCATATATCCAGATTGCCGAGCATTTGTAAAAGGTTAGTAATTATATGGTTTGTTTTTTTTTCTAGAAGATGCAAATATGGTAACATACAAGTTCATTGCAGGCCGGACACACAGATATATTCAAGTTAATTCTGAAATACATGTCACCAAACATTTAAGATAAACATACACGCACAATTACAATATGTATAAAATACGCATCAAAGGGAAATAAGTCCAATTCAAGACATTTAACACAAATAAGTCAATTTGTTGTAAAATGGAATGGATGAATTTAGTTATAAAAATGATTAAACTTAATCATTTTATTTTTATTTCATTTTTATTTTTTCCTAATTATAATTGAAAGTAAATATTAATTCAAATTAAACAAATAAATAATATTTTCATTCTCCACTCGCTAGCTTTTGTAGTGATATTTATATGTACATGTATAATGTTGGAATTGGCTATGGGGGTAATCCAAGGTATTGAGGTTGAAATTGTTTATATGCAGTATTTTACCAGAAATTTTACAACGATTATTGCCGAGATCAAAGAACTAATGCCGCGGACATTATTCTCCAATAAAATCTCAAACGTCTTAAAAAATTATCAGATCAGAAACACGTACCAAACCTGTGCAGTTGAAATGTACATTTGACTTAAGAATGAAATACATATTTTGACCACATCGATGTGTCGTCTTTTTGCAATTTAAACACTGTATATTGCAGACAGTGGCTGATGAATGTAAGTTTCTAATGGAAGCATGCAGGGTATTTCACAGACCTCCCTACGCCATATTTAAACTCTGCGATTTTAGTGATATTTCTTGGTAAAATAGGAAATTGATTTTGTAATTGTATATTCAGAAGATTAAACTATATGAGCTACATACAGATTTATATTTAAGAAAAGGCTTATTTTAATGCGGCAAAAGCACAAGTCATCTGCATTCTATTCACAGGTAAACAAACAATTTACACTCGGGTGCGAAATGGAAAAGCGCTACATGGTGACCTAATTTGTTTCTACATAGAGAAACGATCAGTCTTATTTTACAGCTATGGTAGAATAGAAATAAAGTCCGCGTTTTCGTGAATGTTGCAGAATAAACCTCCTCGGTCACGAAATGTTGTTCGAAAGATAAAAGCCAAGGCAAACATATCGAGACCGAGGAGTTTATTCTGCAACATTCACGAAAATGCGGACTTAATTAACTCTTAAATAGAGGTCAAGTTCGAATTTGGTCCTGGTCTGATGATTTTTTATAGTGATCCCCTTTGCACTTAGTAACTATTTAAAAATTATGGCTAAATACCTACATGGGCATTAGTGGCCATATTGCACATCTCATTGAATAATGCATCAGTACTACAGCTTTCAGACTTTCTAATCTTTTGCTAAATTTTGTTACAATGCTAATTATTTCATATGCAATACACAGATACTTTCAGTCGATTAAAGACAAAGCAAAGAAAGGAGGATAAGGAAAGGGAAAGCTGATTCTTTCAAGCAGGGAAAGCTTATGTACCAAAGAAAGAAAAGGGTATGCCTCAGCACTGCATGTTTTAAGCTTTCAGGTCATGCATATGTCTTAATGTCCCTATGCCGCACTGTTAAGGCTGAATAAAGGGGTGTCCCAGCTAAATTTATTCGGGAAAAGTTTACTGAAATCTAACACAAAATAGTTATTCGCCATACTACCAGAAATGAAATAACTTGCAACTTTAAACTGTATTAGCACAGTAAACAACAACAATAATTATCAATGCATTACGAACGGTAATTTATTTTCTTTTTTTTTCTTTGTATTTTTAGCTCGTCTATCTGAGCTTTCAGAGTGAGCTTTTCTGATAACATTTGTCTGGGGTCCATCTGTCTGTCAGTCTGTAAACTTTTTACATAACCACTGGTTGCCAATTTCAACTAAACTAGCCACAAAGCATCCTTTGGTGAATTGAATTCAAGTTTGTTCAAAAGATGGACCACGCCATCTTTCAATGGGAGATAAGTTGCATGTTTTAAAAATCTTCTTCTCAAGAACCACAGGAGCAGAGCTGTTTACTCTTACGATTTCGCCGTATTTTTTTTTTTTTTACGCATTTTTAATCCAAAATACGTCTCACGTTTTGAGATTATGAAAATACGGAAATACGTTCGTTTGGAATTAAGCAGTTAATTTTCAATATGATTTTCTGAAATATGGCTGAAAGAATGCCGACTCGGCTTAAATCAACAACTATCATTGACAATCAATCGTTATGATCTGGTCGCCTGCGTGGCGCAGTGGTTAGAACGTCTGCTCTAAGAGTTGCGCAGTTAGGACTTACGTCGATTGTTCGAATCCCACTTCAACTTGGAGACCGGTCTTTCAAATCAGACCCTATAAACTGAGGTCATGTTTCGCAGTAGGTGCTGGCACGAAACAGACCCCTCCCTGCTCGATGGCCTTGAGTACTGAGTAGAGGACAAAATTTGCAACTCTCCACGGCAGATGGCGAATTCTTCAGAGAGACATTAAACAATTTATCAATCATCGGATCCTTATGATCTGTCTCAGCTTCACACCCATTAATCACTATAAAAAAATGATTTCAAGCATAGGTGATTTCAAGTTGCCAAAAATGATGTGGTATAAAATGACAAAGTACATGTTATTTAACCATGTTTTAGTGATAAAAAAAGCAGGTGTTCTCTAATTATTTATACGGTAATTCAATGGAAAGCGAAATCTTACTGGCAAATGTTAAATCTCACGGACAAAACTGATCCAAAATATTGAGAGACGACGATAAGGGTAAACAGGTCTGCAGGAGCAAAAAAGATAAACTAATGTAGAAGTATTCTCAGGTAGTACAGATTCAAGTTTGTTTAAATTATGGCATCTGGTGGTAGGGAGGGGCTAGAAACTTGCATATTGGTGCATAATTTTCCAGATTATCCAATTTGGTATTAAATATTCAACATAATATTAAATTGACTTCTGATCCTTTTGCGTTTATTTTTAACTAGATTGGTTCAAAATTATGTCATTTGTCGATACTTAATTATGTGAGCTATGTTACTCCTAGTTCACTTCTTTATTTAGTATAATTTAATTGACTCAAATTTTGATGTACTAGTTAACAATATATGTACAAATTCAGATCTAAGTGCACATATCCTGGAAAATTTTATAAACATAAAATTTCTTTTTGTTGATATTTCCCATATATATTATATACTATAAACTTGTGTATATGTTGTAGAAATTAGAGGCTAGGCGTTCTGCCTTAAAACAGAAATCAACATGGGATGAAGAGAAGAAAAAGAAGGTAGAGGAAGTCCTACATATAGATTTCATGTCATCAGAATATGAAAACACCTCAGATGATGACACCATCTATGAAATTGCCAACCTAAGTTGGCGGTCCGACGAGTGCCTCAAGGCATTTAAAGAACTTGACACCAAAGCTGCTACTTTAAAATCGAAAAGATCGAAAAAACAGAGTATGAGAAGAATTCGATCAAACAGGGAATCAAGAAGAGAAAAACCTGAGGAAGTTACAGCGGAGCAGAAATGGTCTGTTAGGGATTAATTAAATATCAGCGACTACTCATGTTTTGTGTTAATTGTGATGCATTTTTAACAAATTCAAATTTGTATAAAAAATGGAAATACAAGTGTTGTATAATTTTTTATGGTAAAAGTGTTTTCTGCAGATGCCCAGTTACAGATTTTAACTCTTGTCATATTTTTTATTGTGTGAATACACTGTATATTATGTAATGAGCATGCACATACATTTTTAATCTCGATTTATACTATGTGTCTTCAAGTTCGATTTATTATTTAGTGCATGAACATTAAATGTGAAGAAAATAAGTAGGATATAATGCAAGGGTATTCTGAAAGAGCTTTGCTGGCAGTAAGTTGCAGATCTTGATACCCAAGTAAGAGAAAGGTGGTGTCTCTGACCGATCCTTTTGCTGTTGCTTGTGGGCGAGTGAGGCTTCTCTGTCAGTAACTTAGTAAGAAAAAGATAAAGTGACATTTTTGAGTGAAATAGGGATTTTTGCAAGAGAAAACATTAATTATATAAGACCAGAGTATTTTGCATTCTATAAAAATTAAAGTGTAAGATAAAAAAAAATGTAACATATACATATATCTTTTCATAACTTTTTGTATGTACATATGTTCAGAGCTTATTCCTGAATGTTTTAGGATAGATTAGAAGATTATTTACTGAAAATTTACCATTATCCAATTGTCTTGCATTACAGTGAAAAATTGCTTTATAATTAGTAAATATATGTATAGTTGCAGTTCAGAAGAGATAAACGTGATGAGTATAGCAAATGAATTGAAATTTGCTGTTATGTATTAAATAACAGTAAGTGCTACTCTTTTGTATGATTATGATGTTTTTCCTTGGTTCAAATTGACATAACCAGATGTTGATATAAAGAAATTCTCTTGCTGAATTTTTCAGATTACAAAGAGTTTACTCTACTCGGTTACAAATTATAACTCTGTCATATTTCTTCATTGTTTGAGGATTGATTGGCTTTTTGTGTTGCACGGATACATGTATACATGCATTTTAAATATCTGAGTTAATTCAATGTTTTTACAAGTTGAACTTGAAAAATAAGTGCATGGACATTTAATGTGAAGAAAATAAGGAGGACACAATGCAAGGGTATTCTGAAAGAGCTTTGCTGGCAGTAAGTTGCAGATCTTGATACCCAAGTAAGAGAAAGGTGGCGTCTCTGACCGATCCTTTTGCTGTTGCTTGTGGGCGAGTGAGGCTTCTCTGTCAGAACTAGACTAAGAAGACATTTATGCATAAAATATATTGTAATAAGAAGAAAAGGCAACTTAACTATTAATAAAAATAAAGAGTTAAAGAACGTTTATCATGTGTACATGAATATATTAATGCATGATATTATTTGTACATGAATATTCCAGATATATTGTTTCTGAACATATATATGGCATAGACTAGCTAAAAGAAAATGCTTTGAGTGTAAAGGTCAATTTTATGTCTCAATTTCAAATTAGCC